TTTTTCACAAAATATTAACTTTTTCAACTTAACTTTTGAAAATATTCCGGAAGGTCTGACACTTTTATATATATCTTAAATGAAAGCTAATGTAATGTACATTATTATAAAAAAAATAAATTTGACCTTTGGACTTGTCTTCATGGTGAAAATGGCTACCAAATGCTATTTTTGTGTGAAAATTCTCGATTTTATTTTGTCTATTATTAACTTTATAATACTATAACCCTTTGAAAAATGTATAGATCAATACAATTTTTTTATAAGAAATAATATTTATATCCCTCTTTCATTCGACATACTTTATCTTAATCAAGATATTAATAAGGAACTAGCAGATCATATAGCTTTTGGAATAATACACCAATTTTTTTAAATTAAATATCAATCTAAATTACATAGTATAAAAAATTAATCATATTAAAATTTTTTTGTTTCTTTGAAGTCGAGAAAAATAACTTTAAAATTTGAACTAGCTAAATTTCCATTTTTATTAAGTGACAAATGAGACGTACGGTTTTTGAAACGGTAACACTTGGATCTTTCACGTCTGTGGAACTGAATTTTTTTTTAATTCTTTTTGAGTTAAAAAAAAATGTTTAACTCATTTGATTTTTATCTCATTTAGATTCAATAATTTTAATAAATATCAAGGATTCCATTACTGTAGTCTCCTCTCGTGAGAGGAAATTCATATTAATATTATTTTACTATGTAGTTTTTTTTTTTGTAGCTATCATTTATTTTCACAGCTCTCATTTAACCTACTTTTTGACAAATTTTTTTTTTTAAATTAAACACTATCTAAAGATTTGCATCAAAACGTTTTTTCTTTATAGTGATTTTAATCACTGTCAGATATCATTATACTTGATCCAACTATGCCACTTCACCACTGTGCCGCGACCCCCCTGTGCTGAGTTTTTTTAAATTTCACTCAAATACTAAATATTTTTTATATTAACATATTAACATATTTGTTATTTGTTTATTTGAATATAATTTTAAAAATGCACCCAAAGAAAGCTTATTATTCACCATAATGTAATTTTAAAAATTTTTGATTTAATATAGATATTTACTTGTCAAACGTCTCAAATATTAAAAAAATTAGAAATTAAGTAATTTTTTTACTTTGACAACCGATTTCTCATAATTAAACAATTTTGGTATAGTTTCTTTTATATTGTACTATTGTTTAAGAGCTTTAATAGGTTTAAGTGGGGCAGACATTTTGAAACATATTCAAAAATTGAGTCGAGAAATTTTTTTTGCCAAGCGTAAGAGGCCATTTTTTAAGCCCTTCTAGTACTTTGGTTTTTTATTGGATTTTCATAAAAATTACACTTAAAGAAAGCGTATCTCTCGTTTATTATGTTTAAATGTTTATATCTATAAATAAAATGTTTAAAAGTTTTAGAAGTTATAAATACAGGAATTACAGGACATATATATATTTTTTTTTTTTTTGAAAAAGTCGTTTTTAACGTTAGCGTATTTTGAAAATATTTTTCTAAATTTCTAAAATTTATCAGATTTTGATGATGATAAGTTCAATTAGATAATAATCAGTTTCATTTGACGTATTGTAAATTAAATTCGGTTCTGTGAGAACCGATAATTCACATGGACAGAATAAAAAACCTAGCATAGTAGAGTGGCGGCACAGTTCGGTCGTGGCATAGTTGGGTCCAGTATAGATGATATCTGACAGTGATTAAAATCACTATCATAAAAAACACTTCGATGCAAATCTATAGATAGTGTTTAATAAAAAAAAAAAAAAAATTATCAACAAAGTAGATCAAGTAAAAGCTGAGAAAATAAATGATAGCTACAAAAAAAAACCACATAGTAAAATAATATTAATATGAATTTCTTCTCACGAGAGGAGACTACAGTAATGATATCCACAATATTTATTGAATCTAAATGAAATAAAGATCAAATGAGTTAAATATTTTTTTCTAACTCAAAAAGAATTAAGAAAAAATTCAGTGCCACAGTGTTACCGTCTCAGAAATTGTACCTCGCATTCGTCACTTAATAAAAATGGAAATTTAACTAGTTCAAATTTTAAAGTTATTTTTCTCGACTTCAAAGAAACAAAATAATTTAAATATGTTTAACTTTTTGTACTACGTCAATTAGATTGATATAATATTAATGAAAATCAGTGTAATCCCTTTATAATAAAATGAAATACAAAACCAAGAATTTTAACACAAAAATTGCACATTTTTGAATACGGTAGCTATTTTTACCACGAAGACAAAATAAAGTCCGAAAATTTTTTTTAATATTTAAGTATATTATATAAGCTTTAATTTAAAATATATCAGTATTTCCGGAACACTTTCAAAAGTTAATTTTTTGTGAAAAAGTTGTCATTTTGAATCCCCCCCTGTAGGCTGGTAAAAGATTAAATTTATAAAAAAATATACCAAATAATAGATAAAGACATCAAGCATCTATAAAAAAAAAATTATATTGATTTGTTCATTTTTGAAAAATTTATGGAAGTTTTAAGTAAAAAAAATTGAAAAAATTTCGTAAATTAGCGATTTATAAATTTGTATTTTTTTTGGAGGTTTCCCCCATTTACGGGGAACGAGGGAAATTTTTAAAATTTTTGAGGGTATTGTCTTCGATTAGATACGATTTGTGATCTTTAGACGTATCGTTGAAAGAAATTGGTTCAGTGAAAGTTGAGAAAAAGTGGTGAGACACAAAAAAAAAAAAAACACATCATAGTAAAATTAATACCTTCTCAGCTTCTCATCGAAGCTAAAATATATACAAGGCAATTGGTTTAGTGATTTAAGTTATTGACTCGGAAGTATTTAATATGATACGTCATCAATATGTGAAAGAATATAATTTTTGATATTAATTTTAATGTTAAATATATCAACCAAAAAATATATAATGTGAGCGTTCGAGTTATAATCTCGTTCTACAACAATATTGAACACTCTATATAATCATATTATTTTGTGTCAGCAAACAAAACGAATTAAAAACAAACATAATTTTGTTTCAAAGATAGTTATCGTTATTTCGTTTAAACAAGAATCGTTGTTACTGTCCGCCTTAAATATCACCTTGTGGTATTATTTAACCTAAACCTCTACAAAATTAAGGTCACGAATTGAAACGGTCTTAAAGTAACATTAGTAAGCTGATATAAACATATTTTAGTTAAATTTATCTAAACACATAAAAATCGTATTATTATTACTTCATATATGATTTTTAATGTGCTAAAAATTTGCATTTGACAAACAAATATTATTATATGCATTAAATTTTTTTTATTAAATCTCAAAGTTTATGTGTAGTTATAATTTAAAGCTTAGTGCCTTTATTAAGAACTAATCTTAATTTAGTGATATTATATCATAATAATGTTCATATTATGTTATTCGAATCTGATTACTATTTAGGCTATTAGTAGAATTTTTAAATTCAATTCATAAACACCATATTTTTACATAAAATAAAAATATTTTAGGTTTTAGCTAAAAGTATCGAATTATGTAAATCAAAAATTTAATGAGTTGTTGGGGATTAAATTATTAAGCAACTTTTTAAGATAAATTGATAGCAATTTTTATATTGCTTATTTTTTCTTACTATTTTAAGCGCGTATATTGTAAATTGTGAAACCGCTTTACTTTGACATTAATATATCTTTTATTTAATTTTTCTTATTATTATTTTAGCTTCACTGAAAATCTGAGAAGGTATTTTATTTTGCAATGATGTGCCACTACTTTTTCTCAGCTCTCACTGAACCGATTTTACTCAACGATTTGTCAAAGGGTCACAAATTGTATCTAGTTGAAGACATTACCCTCAAAAATTGAAATTTTTGCCCATGTTCCCCGTAAATGGAAAAAATTATATATTATACTTAGAAATCATAGAACTACTAATTAAAAATAATGAAGGAAATAGGAATTAATTTTGCTTTTAAAATAATCCACCAATTTTTTAAAATTAAAGACTACCTACAGATTTTCATCGAAGCGTTTCCTATGAAAGTGATTTTAATCACTGTCAGATATCATCTATCCTTGTCCCAACTATGCCACGCTCACGCTGTACTACCGCCACCCCACTGTGTTACCGTTTTTTTTATTAATATTATTAAGTGTTTTATCTCATAAATTTATGTGATTTTCTATCGAATATAATTTTCTATTTATGATTTTAAAAACAAGCTAGCCACAGATGACTAGATTCTACAAATAAATAAAATCGAACACTTAATTAATAATTTTATACTTTACAGTCTATAATCGATTTATAAATTGTATAACTATTTTATACTCTATAACATAATAAGCTAACAATTTTTTTAAAAATTCACTGTAGAAATAAATTAATTATTTTTACTAATATAGATTTTTTTTTACTTTCAAGACTTAAATGCAAAATTATAAATTACAATTTAGGTTAAGAAGACTTTTCACATTCAAATTTAAAGAATTTTAAAATTTAAACAATACGATGTTTTCGTTTTAAAATATTAAAGGAATAACTAAAAGCAAACACACACTATATTGTTAATGCATGTATTATTCGGTGATTCGAAAACTTTTGTTTCCCATTAATAAGGTTCTCAAATTCAAGTACTTTTTTCGGTGTATTAAAACATGTCTTGGGCAATTAGAGATTCTGGAAGATTGAGTGGTCGTAAAGACATGATCAAATTCATATACAATTAAACAGAAAAAATTATCTACATCCATGCATGGTTGATTTTCGATAAAAAAAATTGAAAAAAATGATAGCCTTTCAAATTTTACGTTATATTTAAACTGTCATAACTTTGTTCAAAATTGGTTTATCGGCTAAGCACAGATGTAATTTTGTCACCATTAATTTTACATATTAATCATGTCTTTACGAGCACTAAATCTTCCAGAATCTGTGATCACCCGAAACATGTTCTCTTATATTTTTTCAATTAATTACGCATTTTTGTAACGCACCTAGCGGAGTCCTTTGCACATGTGTGTCTATCGGCGGCGAAGACGGCTACTTCAAAAACCAGTTTTGGTGACACATAAAATCCTTATCGCTAGTACAGAAAACAAAAATAATTATATTTTGCATCAAATAATAATTTCTAATTAACTAATCATTGTTATTTTCCTAGACTACTGCCTAAAAATGTACATTATTTTATTTTTGTTTTTTTACCATTACTCGAAATCTGTTGTAATTAGGAAAATATTATAAGAGATTGATATTGTACACAGTTTGATTTTCTATTGAAAAGTGAATTTTAAATACAAAATATTTTCGTCTATTATTGAGATAATGATAGAGTAAGATAAATATTTTTTCAATTTTGTCTAATCCGCCTAGTTTTACGATCTTTTAACGACTACTCATATTTTGTTGTACTTAGAAAAAGGATATAGATATCAATTTTATAAAGTATTTATTTTTCTATTTGTCAGTATATTTTATTTGTCAAAATTTTACTAATATTGTTGTGTTCGCCTAAATGTGAAAGGTGACCACCAATAATTGAACAGTTAAATTTTTTTCATATTTTGATGCAATCTTAATACAAAAATGTTAATAAATTATTTTATTGGAAATAGGAATCATCCAGTGAATTAATTGGTAATAATATTGTATCAAAAGTAGTAATATGTAGAGCTTTTTTATTTTTTCAGTTCTTATAAAATTACATCTAAAATTTGAATATCAGATTAGACTATTTATAGTTTAAACTAAGCAATGATTGTTTTCTGATAGCATTTATTAATTGGGGTGATGTTACATTATTATTATATTTTACATTTTTAATTTTTAATTTTTAAATTTAAAAAAAGTGTTTTGCTGAGTTTTTCTAAAAATTAAATATGAAGGACAGGTAACTTTATTTATTTAACTATGCAAATAATTATAATTTTTGTATAAATTATAAGTTCTCTGTTGCTTCTTTAGTTGTCTATACTTAAAGTAAATTATTTATGAATACATTTCTTAAAATAAAATGTTTAAATGGTGCTATGATAATATGTTGCTTTTGCTTACTGATTTTGTGTATTACTTTGTTTTTTCATCATTTTTTGTGCCCCCTCTATTATAAGTTTCTAAATACGACCTTGAAATTGTTTGAATAAATGTATAATAATAGTGACATCAACTAGTGAAATAAAATAAATTTAAAATATACAGTCATTTATATCTTATAAAAATACATTTAATTATTTATTATTCGTTGATTTATTGAATGTATATTTTTACTGCTAAAAATTACAAATAATCAAATTGGAGATATTTTATAGCCTCTTATTTCATGAACTCAATAGGGGAGTTGATATTTTTTAACTACTCATATTAACATTAAGATACTTCAGTCTTTTTGGTCTTTTTCCAATCCATGAGGTGTTGAAAATTTATGTTACAAACTCAAATACAATTGCTTATACAAAGCTCGTTAAATTTAATAGCCAAAAAAGTTTCTACAGAACTAATCTTGTTGATCTTACATATTACCTTTACCAAATAATAATTGATAATTTAATAAATAATATTTAATACAATACAATGTTTTCTTTTTTGGAAAACAATAAACAAAAGAAAAACTTAATTATTTATTTTTTTAATTACATACGAAATTTACTATATTTAAAAATTAAATTAATGTTTTTTAGTTCTATAGAAAATTACTTTAAATTTTTAGAGAATTATCATTTTTTTTTAAATACGAAAATTTACCACAACTCCACCAAACTATAAAATTAACTCAATTTAAAAATATCCCAATAAAACTATATGAAACAACCTTAAGTTATTTAAAAAATCGAAATTTTATTGTGAAAAGTAATATTTCAATATTTTTTTCTATATTTTACAAAATTAAGGCATCAAATTAAAAAACTCAGATATTAGGAAACTTGTTTTATTTTTTTCAATCGCACATAATTTCTTCATTTTTTTATCAATATTACAAAATAATATATGATTTTCTTTGTTATGTATTAGAGTATAATGTCTATTGAATATATTGTTGATAAATTTATTTTTTATTGGTGTAATTTACGTAAAACTCTAAATATTTTCTGACATTTTGAAAAAAAAATGATAAAATTTCAGTGGTAAATTCGTAGATAGCAAACGAGAAAAAATTCAGATAAAAAATTGTTAAAGATAAAAGTTAGAGGTATTATAATATTGTTTAATTTTATGTAAAAAAATGAAAATCTTTTTCGCACACGAAAAACGCTAATTTCGCAATAACTCAAAAACTGTTTTTCTTTTTGTATTTTGGACTTCATTTTCGGACTCAGTGGACGAGTTTACATAAAAAATGACTATTATAAGACATAGGTAAATATAGTTGTAAACTATTGTAATTAGCGTCCAATTACGTCATTACAATTATACCATTACATAGTATAATATGTAAATATTCTGAAAAAATTTCACTTTCAAAACAAGGTATAAAATTACAAATACAATGTTGCTTAATAAAAGATCAATTTATCGGAAGATCGATTTCTTATCAGAATTGATATTTAAACTAACTTTTGATCTATAAGGTTAAGAAATTTTTATAATTTTGTTGTAAAATCCTAACAAACGTTCTTTTTTATCAAATAATTGTTTAAATGCAATGAAAGATACCTAATTTATAACACACATTCGTATTTAACTTCTTAAATAAGAAAAATTATCTAAACTCAAATCATAGCTCAATAATAATTAATTATTAAAAAAATATGCAAATAGAGTTTTCTTATTCTTGTTAACCAAAAATTACAAAAAAAAAAAATGTTGAGAAAAAATTAAAAAAATGTCCTTTTTTATTTAATAGGTTAGTTGGCATTATGATATCTGGATAATATATTATTTGTAATAAGATAAGTTAAAATTTTAAATGAATTACAAATAACTTAACAAATGTTTTGGTAGAGGTTCAGTCATAACAGTCACCATGCATGCTAATGTGTAATATATAATAACTAAACATTAAAAATACATCGGTACTCATGTTTAAAAAACAATAATTTATTGAAATTTATTAATACTAAATTAAATTTTTGAACATATATTTTTACCAATTTTGTAAATAAGTTATTTTTTTAGGATAAACATAATATATATAAAGAAAAATTTTACTTTTTTTTTTACATTAAAATATATATTATATAGTACATAGTTGCGTCAAATTTGAGTTTAACATTTTTATAATGATAAATAAATTTTCATTATTTAGTTTCTTTATATTATCATGTTTCTATATTGTAGTTTCAAGTGAAATATATCTCGACTGCTATTTTAGTAAGTATTTATTATATAATTTGAACACCAAAGTTATGTATTTCAACAAAAATTTATTGGTTCATACATCTAACCAAAATTTGGTAGAAAAATTTGCCATGGGTCTTCAAACATTGGGTCCGATTGTAATAGTCATGCTTCAACAAATAGATGATGAATATAAAAAAATTAATCGATCGTTGTCTCCAAATAGATTCAAAAACTCACAAGGATTATTGTATGCGAATTTTTATTTGAATAATCTTTCCAACACCTTACTATTGCAAACATATCAAAATGTAACAATTCAAACTAGAGAATTAAGTGATCATGAAATTTTTATAGACGAATTTAAGAAAATTTATCCAATGTTAATTGAACAACTAAAAAAAAACGTTTTAGATGCATGTTATGAAGGTAAACAACTGAATTTCCCGGATATTGTTATTCAAAACCAGTTTGTTGGTGATAATTATTCCAGTAATGCGATTATTGATGATTTATTACCTAATGAAGAAGCTATTAAAACTATATTCATGGAAGAAAATATTGAAAATACAATGAATAAAGTTAATGATAGTGAAGTCAATTTAAGATATCATTTTAACTTAAAAATCGAAGATGAAATACCGGAAAATACTTCCTATCACCCGAATAACATATTGTTCTCCAGTTTATTCGATAAAAGTATAAGATCTAAATTAAGTGAAATAATTGAAGTGCCAATAAATGAAAAATTGGAAAACGGAAAATATCCAAACATGGCAGTATTATTTGACATGATTAAACACACATTTGATGTTGACTGTGTAGAATCATTCCAACGTCAAGTTGTAGCTGCAACAGTTTATCCGGTTTATTATTGTGTCGGCAAATTTGCACTTTTGTTGCAAAAAATATATGACAGTGTCAACGTGGAAAATCGTGAAGTAATTTCAAGAGACAAATTGTATGGAAAACAATTAAAAAAAACAGCTGGGGATATTAAATTGTTATTGAATTGTTTGATGTATAATAATTTACCAAAAAAAGTTAAGAAACATGTAGAAATTACTGATGATCTTTTAGAAAAAATAATGAGTTTAGTTATATCTCAAACATTTTTTAAATTGAAATCAGGATTTATTCATAGACTGTACTGGAGATGTGCTGAAGCTATGAAGTTAAATTTAATTCATTTCGACACGGGAGTGGATAAACCTAATATGTATGACCAAGTCCAATGCGACAAAATATTATCTCAGATTAATTTTAAAATTAGTCCTTTACTTGCCAACCAATCCTCAAACAATTTATTAAATAAGGCTTTATTGGTCTTTTATTCTGATGGAAGAGAAATATTCTCTTTTGACGAAATATTTTCAAAGGAATTAAAATGTAACATAGTTCAATTGAATAAACAAGGTATACCATAATAATAACAATTTTTATAATATATACGATTTATTGCAGAGGCGTGTCAAATTTATCTTTATACATTTTGATAACTATTGATATTTAAACGCGAAATTCAATCAGTATTTTTTTGTTATCAGTTAAGGAAATACATTCTTGGTTTTATTAAAATATTTTGTAAAACTGCTATTTTACCAAATGAAATATAAAATTACAAATAAATGTTTGATTACTATTCGGTTAATTTATTGAAATTAAGTTCAATTAAGAAAGATTATTTAAAATGGTTCTTAAGTATCGTTAGAAAATTAATCTATTATACTATTACTTTTCATACTAATTTTAAGAAAATTTCGAACAAATATTTTTTTTAACCAAATAAAGTTTGTATGCAATGGAAGACGCGGATTTTATTTATTTAGTTAGGTAGTTCGATAAATTTAACTTAATATTTTAAACTTTTTTACATACCAATATTATAAAATAGATTTATTTCAATTTTTGTTTTAAATTAATAATATTAATTAAAAGATCTTGTTCTATATATTAAATAGAACAAGATCGATTTTATACATTTCAATTTTCATCTGGTAGTAACTAATAAAGTATGTTGAAAAAACTTTAAAGCTGACAAAAATGTATTTTAATGTCATTATATAGTTATAGTGGTAAGAAATGTAATTAAAATCGGCAACGTGTAAACATTTATAATTACAATTATTTTCTAAATTTTCAGGTTATCATATTATATGGAAATAATAAACTTTTCAAGATAATATATGATATTATTAATTAAGGACAGAAACCTATAATAATTGAATTTTAAGTTAATACATTATTTTTTAAATTACACGGCAATGGTGTTAAGCTGTATTATATTTTTAAAAATTAAAATTTTAAAAGTTCTTGATGATCTATATACAATTAGTTTTATGTATAATAATTTTCATTGCACTCATTTGTGGTCTTTAAATATTCCATAGATCTGTTATAAAAATAATTTCNGTCTTTAAATATTCCATAGATCTGTTATAAAAATAATTTCACGAAATGACTGTACATAATTGGTTATCTACAAAAATATATACAAATTATTTAAATAAAATTTGACGATGAATTTCTTTTGTGTTTTTGATACTGTTGTTTTTAGCATCGGCAACTTACACGTAAAGGAGATAATACATTGTTAATACATATGTATATAACTATATATTAGAAACTATTTAATACTTCCAATTATGTAAAATACAATTTGTTCGATTCGATAATAATATGTAGTTAAATATTTTTATCCTTACAGGGATAAAAAAAGCTATATTTGAATTCTATTTAATGGGAAACCCTTATTTTAGTTTGATGAAAACAAAATTTCAACAATTATGTTCTAATCATTTTTTTATTCAGTGTTTAATTTGACACGGCCCGCGTCGCTTCGTTGTACACGATGCCCCGCGACTCGTGCCACTTTTATCAGCCGTCGGCCTACTATGAATATGACCAACACCGCGTGTTATGCGCCACTGTGCAAAGTCCAGCCGCACGGCCGACGACGACCCGCCGCAAATGGTGCGAGAGTCTTCTTCCCGTTGTGAAAGCGACAACGTCGACCAACCGAACCGCACCCGCGCACCGTCGCCTACAACGCTGCTAACCTTTTGCCGTCCAAGAATTGCGCCGTCGACGGCAGCGAAAGTGCCGCGATATTATGCGAAGATTATTATTTCTGTGTTAATCTTTTCGGTTTGTTTTATTTTTGTTAAAATAATCTGTTGTCGCTCATTTAATAAACGGCCCACGGGTCTCTACCCTCAAAACCAGTGTCGACCACATTTTTGCGACGTAAGTCGTGTCAAATTGTTAGCGTTTTTTAAAGATTTGAATTTAAGATAGAAATTCATCTTTAATTTGTATTTTATAATACAATAACAATAAACAGTTTCATAAGTTTCAGTTTCAACCCAATAATATTATTATCGGTATTTATTCGTACCATCTTAAGCAATAAATATTATAACTAATTATCAATGAAAAATTGTTTATGTAACATCATGAAGACATGACGACTATTGTATGCTAAACAGCATTTATCAACAGAAAATTATTCTAAAACTGCTGAATTTTTACAAACAATAAAAAAAATCAATTCATCAAATAAAAAATATTGTAAAAACTAAATTGTTTGAATTTTTTTTTATCATATCATTGAATTAAAACAGAGATTCTCATTAAGAAAATTAAAGATTTTTTAACATTGAACGGGAAAAAAAGAAAATTATATAACTATAAATTATAGTAGCTTTCTATGATGTATGCATCAAAGTGTTGAGCGGTTGGTAAGAGAATAGTGCAGAGAATAAGTGTAACAGAGATGAGAATGCTTAGTTGGATGAGTGGAGGGACTAGAGAAGTTACCATGTGGGGAACGAACATACAAGAGGTAGTATAGGTGTGACGTCAATCGTAGATAAGATAAGAGAAAATAGACTTGGATGGTTTGGTCATATTATGAAGAGAGAGGAATCGGAAGCTGTAAGACAGTTATAGAAATGAATGTTGAAGGGAGAAGAGGTAGAAGAAGACAAAATTAATCACTGTTAAATATTATCTACACTTGTCCTAACTATGCCGGGACCCAACTGTGCTCGGTTTTGTAATTTTAATAATTAATTAATTTTATTCTAGTAATCGACTGAATAATTCATTAAATAGTTACAAAAACAGTAATGTTTACTTATCAATACGCACTACACTTATATAAAAATGTATGATTAACTTTGGAAAGTAAATACTTGTGATTATGTGTGAACAAGTATGAAATTAATTTACAGAGTAGATATACAGTTTATTTTTTTATCAGTACAATACTGTTAAAAAAGTAATCCAATTTGAAATATTGTTGTTATATTTTTAAACCGCTTTATCGCACACTTTAGTTTGTCGTAATAAGACTAATGCTTGGCATTACGCATCATACATTTACCAAAAAAAATATATTATATTCTATATTTTATACTACTTGTATAAACAAATAATAAATTTATCTGTCATAACACATACACTGTTATACATTATATACGTGTTAAATCGATTATTGTAAACTATGAATTTTATCTTAAAATAATTATCATGTTATGTTCAATTTAATACAATAAACTGAGAATCACTAAAATATCTCAAACGACAATATCTCAAGGTTAGGGTAATTAAAAATAATATAAAAATGTTTAATTCTTTTTGCACATGTGTGAGCGAGCCGGAACATTTAAAATTCTGAATTCAAAATAGATTTAAGAATTCTTTTGTCCAGTTTATTTTTTTCAATTAGCGGCGACCCCGTGTTGTCTTCGGTACATTTTAATACGATATTGAAATATAACTATTTTGAGTCTGGATTTTATTTATTTTAAAAGATACGAAGTAGAAATTTCGTGTGTGCAAATTAGCGCGATTTAAAAAAAAATTGGCGTATTTAATATCTTGATTATCGACGATCTTTACACAAACAGTCTATATGAAGTCAGTAAATTCACATTAAACAAATTGTTTAGAATTAATAATCTGAGTAAAGAACGGTAAAGCAATAGATCAATAAAATCTCTTAATTTCAAAGCAATTTTACTAATTTGTTCAATATACCCATATACTCAACACATATCCTTCATATAAACCCTTATTTTTATTACTAAAAAAATAACTATTTTCTATATTTTTTTTTTCAAAATTTCATAATAGCCATTTTTTAGTTACTTTTTACAAATAATTTTTATGAGTCGATTAAAATTTCTAGAAAACTACACATTGAGTCACAACACATTTTAATGTGTGTAAAGTGTGTATGTAGTTATGATGGATACAACTTGTACTGGTGTATATTTATAACGAATACAGAGTGTCTGAATCTAAGACAGTCTGTAAAAGTACAGTCATGTATTTATGGACCTAGTACGATATCCATACATTTTTGAAATTTCGATCAGTTTGTTACTAATTCAAAAGACATTAATTTGTATGATTAGTTTCTGTAATTCAACAAGAAACTATTTTGCAGTTTAGTCTCCTGATTATGAGGGAAAAAATTTATAGAACTAAATATTTACCATAAAAAATGTTATTAGCAAAAAAACCGTATCTATAATACTTCGTGATTAAAATTTAAAAAACAACATATTTTTATCTTTACCGTTGAAATTGTTTTTATTAGTTTATTTAAATATTACAAACCAAATATTCAACATACAAAAAAAATATTTGCATAAAAATTGTTTATTATTTGTGTTATGTGTATCATTTCTTTTACCAAACGTTGTTGTTATAATCGAGTAATAAGGTGGATTGAAAAACTGAATTTTAATTTTTAACTTTCTAATAGTTGGGGAAATAATTATTCGTTAAAAATAGCTGGTGTATTGACGAGTTTTAAAATCANATGTATTTTAGTTTTTATATGTCACTTATAAAATCACACTAGTATAGTTTTAAATTAAGATGTGCCGCAAGGCATTTGAAATAAGTAATATTATTTACTCATGATTACTAAATTATTCTACTTATGCCCTATATTATCTTAATAATTTTATGATACGATAATATTTCATTGTTACTTCAGTAATATTAAATGCAAAAGCATTTGATATTTCTGTGTATCCATACGGAGTCTGTTAAGTTAATTTTAAGTGCAACAAGTGTTAAATATTCGTTAAAAATAGCTGGTGTATTGACGAGTTTTAAAATCAAAATGTTAAATTTTTAGAGATACTAAAGAGATTAGTAATTATGTATTACCAACTTATGAAGACGTTAGAAGATTTAACGAAAGATAACGCTCTATAGTAAATAAAAGCTTACTTTATTTTACACTATATATTTTCTATGGTGTACAATATTATTATAACTAACACCTTTGAAGCATTTAAAAATACATCAATACTCATGTTAAAAAACAATATATCAACTGATTTATTAATGCTAAGTTGAATTATTATAAGCACATATTTTTACCAACTTCATAAATACATTTTTTTTGGGGGGGTTAAACATTATATAAGCAAAAAAATATTAAATTTTTCATATTTTAATATAAACTATCTACTATCTATTTGCAACAGATTTGATACTAAATATTTATAATGATTAGTAATTTTTTTTTATTCAGTTTTTTAACACTATCATGTTTCTATAGTGTAATTTCAAGAGAAATATATCTCGATTGCTATTATAGTAAGTACCTATTATATAATTTAAACACCAAAGTTATATATTTCAACAAAATTGTATCAGTAAATAAACAAAACCATATTTTGATTGAAAATTTTGCCACGGGCCTTCAACTCTTAGGTCCAATTGTAGTAGCATTTCTTTGCAAAATATATCAAGAACATTTTGATAAACAGAATAAAATTATGAAAACCAATCAATTGTGGTCTATAAATGCATTCAAAAACTCGCAGGGATTATTATCTATAAATTTTTATTTGAATAATCTTTCCAACACCTTACTATTGCAAACATATCAAAATGTAACAACTGAAACAATAGAATTAAGTGATCATGAAATTTTTATAGACGAATTTAAGAAAATTTATCCAAATTTAATTGCACAACTAAAACAAAACGTTTTAGATGCATGTTACAAAGGTAAACAACTGAATTTCCCCGATATTGTTATTCAAAACCAATTTGTNACAAAGGTAAAAAACTGAATTTCCCTGATATTGTTATTCAAAACCAATTTGTCGATAGAAATTATTTCAGTAATGTGATTATTAATGATTTATTACCTAATAAGGAAACTATTAAAACTATATTCATGGAAAAAAATATTGAAGAAACAATGTATCAAGTTCAAAACACTGAAGCCGAATTAAAAATGCATCTAAAAAAATATATTGAACTTGATAAATTTGATATAACTTCTTATCACCCTAATGTAATGTTGTTCTCCCGTTTATTCCACGAAAGTAAAAGATATCAATTAAGTGGAATGATTGAAGTGCAAGTAAATGAAAAATTGGAAAATGGTGAATATCCAAACATGGCAGTATTGTTTGACATGATTAAACACACATTTGATGTTGACTGTGTAGAATCATTCCAACGCCAAGTTGTAGCTGCTACAATTTATCCATATTATGTCTGTATTGCTAAATTTGCACAACTATTGAAAAAAATAATTTTTGGTGTTTACGTCAACAAAAGCGAAATAATTTCCAGACTTAATTTTTATAAAGAAAGATTAAACTTAACAAGTGAAAATTTAAATAATATTATTTTTCAATTATCAAATAAAGGTAGCATTTTTCCAAATAGCGTTCAAAATCATTTGAAGGTCACTTACGATTTTTTACGGGGAATAATAAATATAGTTAAATCTCAGGAAATTAGTAAATTAAATTTAGGACATTTGGATCAACTTTATTGGAGATGTGCTAATGCTATGGAATTGAATTTAATTTACTTCAACACTAAAGTGGAAAACATTGATATGTACGACAGTAATGAATGTGACAAAATTATATCTCAGTTGGATACTGAAATTAATGATTTAAAAAATATCTTAAACAGTATAGACCACGAATCTAAGAACTACTTTTATTTTGTTAAAGTATTACAAGTATTCTCCTTTGACAATACATTTTCGAAGAAATTAAAATGTAACATTGTTCAGAAGAATAAAGAAGGTAGGCTCTAATAAAAATCAATTTTTATAATGTATATTTGGTTATTTTCAGCACTAGCGTTTTGCGTTAGTGCTTTTAAACTTTTTANGCGTTTTGCGTTAGTGCTTTTAAACTTTTTAAATAATAGTGGCAACTTATGCACTACCCTAAATAATTGTTAAGACAATACAAACAACACACAATTATTCACATTATTATCACGTCTCATTGATCTCAGAGAGTAATTAACTAATTGAAAATGATATTGATGTCTTTATTATTAAAATCTAAGTATTCCGCAAAAAAGAACTTTTATAGTTTTTTAGGACAATTTAAATATTACCAGATCTTTACTGTCATTATTAAAATAATAACATTGATAACTCTGATCAATAATGAAAAAGCTTCCTGTATAAAATTAGTTTATTTAAAAAATTTTAGTAAAAAAGGACAAATTTCTGTTAAAAATAAAACACTTCAGTTTGCATTATACATAACTTAATTAATTAGTCACCTTAATGTTAAAAGTAATCATGTGTTAAATTTATCAATTCTTTCATATATTAGCTTCGATGCAAAGCTGAGAAGGTATATATTTTACTATGATGTGTTTTTTTTTTCTTATATATTTATTATTTTTTTTTTTGTCTGTCACCACATTTTCTCAGCTCTCACTGAACCGATTTCTTTCATCAATACGTCAAAAGATCACAAATCGTATCTATTCGAAAACATTACCCTCAAAAAATTGAAAAAAATTCCCATGTTACCCTTAAATGGGGGTAATCTCCAAAAAAATTCCAAATTTAAAAATCGCTAATTTTCGAAATTTTTTCACTTTTTTTTACTTAAAACTGCCATAAATTTTTCAAAAATGAACCATTCAATATAATTTTTTTATAGATGCATAATGTCTTTACCTATTATTTGGTATATATTTTTTATAAATTTGACCCTTACCTGCCCATAGGAGGGGGCTTAAAATGACAACTTTTTCACAAAAAATTAACATTTTCAACTTTTTTTATTTAATTGTTTGTATAGGAAAAGTTTCCTAGCTTTATACCATCATCCATGGAGTTTTCAAATATATTTTTGAAATGACTGAATGTTCTGATAATAGGGATCAAAATGTCGTGTTAAATGTATAGTCCAAAAAAAAAAAATGATGAAAATATTAAAAATTTAACTTCATATTTACAAAAAAAAAAAAAACTGTTTTATCCAAGATAAGTATTAATGTAGTTTTAAAATATTTTCATCGATTAGTTGAAAATGTATAAAAATTATATAATTTCAATTAAAAAAATAACCCAGGACAGAGGGAACGCCGCACAGTGGTGACGTGCATAGTTGGGTCCAGTATAATGATATCTAACTGTAATTAAAATCACTATCATAAAAAACGCTTCGATGCAAATCTTTAGATAGTGTTTAATTTTAAAATAATTGGTGGATTATTCCAAAAGCTACATGGTCTGTTATTTCCTTATTTATATCGTGATTAAGATAAAGTACGTCAAATAAAACAGGGATATAAATATTATTTCTCATAAAAATTGTATTGATCCATACACTCTTCAATAAGTTAGAGCCTTATAAAGTTAAAAATGTAAAATACAAAATCGAGAATTTTCACATAAAAATAGTATTTGGTAATTATTTTCATCGTGAAGACAGATAAAAGTCTGACATTTTTTTTTCCATGATAAAGTTTATTACATTAGCTTTAATTTAAGATAATTATAAAAGTGTCAGACTATCTGGAACTCTCTCAAAAGTTAATTTTTTGTGAAAAAGTTGTCATTTTAAATCACCCTCAGTGGGCAGGTAAAGTGTCAGATTTACAAAAAAAAACCAAATGAAAGGTAAAGACACCATGCATCTATAAAAAAAATTATATTGATTTGGCCATTTTTAAAAAATATTTAGCACTTTTAAATAAAAAAAATTGAAAGAATGTTAAAAATTTGTAAATTTTTTGGAGATTTCCTTCATTTACGGGAAACCAGGGAAATTTTTTCAATTTTTGAGAGTAATGTCTTCAACTAGATACGATTTGTGATCTTTTGATGTATCGTTGAAAGAAATCGGTCCAGTGAGAGCTGAATAATGTAGTGACAGACAAAAAAAAATTTTACCATGATATACCTTCTTAATTTTATCTTCTCAGCTTCGCATAGAAGCAAAAATGTCGGATGAGAGGTGTGTATATAAAGTGTTTAAAATAAAAAAAATCTATTGGCCCATAAATTTGTAAAAAAGTTAAAGCAATATAAATTAAAAATATAAAATTGATAATTTTTCAAAAAAATGTACGTTTTTTTTTAACTTTGATATTGATTTTCATCATGAAAACAAGTCCGAAGGTAGAATTTTTTTCAAAATAAAGAATATTATTTATTATTTAAGGTATATATAAAAGTGTTAGTTTTTCTGGAACATTCTCAAAAGTTAAGTTGAAAAAGTTATATTTTCTATACGCATGTTTAAAGGTTAAACCCCCTCACGGTATAAAAGAAAATGGTCCAATTAAATAAAAAGTATATCGAATGAAAGAGGTATATATATATATAGTATTTATCATAAAAAATAGTATTATTCCATACATTTTTTTATAAATTTTATAGTAATATAAAATTCAAAAATGTAAAGTATAATACTATGAATTTTTCATATAAATAGCATACTTTTGAATACAGCAATCATTTTTATCACGAAGACAAGTCCAGAGATCAAATTTTTTTTTATATTTTATAATCTTTAATTTAAGTTATATATAAAAGTATCAGTATTTCCGAAACATTTTCAAAAGTTAATTTTTTGTGAAAAATTTGCCATCTTAAAACCNTCACGAAGACAAGTCCAGAGATCAAATTTTTTTTTATATTTTATAATCTTTAATTTAAGTTATATATAAAAGTATTAGTATTTCCGAAACATTTTCAAAAGTTAATTTTTTGTGAAAAATTTGCCATCTTAAAATCTTCTTTTAGGACAGGTAAAGAGTCAAATGTTCACAAAAATATACTAAATAATAGGTAAATACATAAGGTATCTTATAAAAAAATATATTATGGCAGTTTTAAGGAAAAAAAAATTTCAAAAATTTCGAAAATTACTGATTTTAAAAATTGTAATTTTTATGGATCATTTCCACATTCACAAGGAGCGAAAGAAATTTTTTTAATTTTTGAGGATAATGTCCAACTAGATACAATTTGTGATCTTGAGACTTATTGTTCATGAAAATCGGTGCTATGAGAGCTAAAAATGAGTGGTGACACACATATAAAAGAAAAAAAACATATCAAAATTAATACCTCCTTATCTTCGCATTGAAGTTAAAAGACTCAGTTACTATCAAAATGATAGTATCGTCACTTGCGTAGGTGCCGGTATTGTTACGTTTAAACACACATTAACTAGAGCAAATATGACCACGCACTGCTACGGAAGGAAATGATATATTTATGGAACTCTTGAGCCTTACAATTAGTTCAATAATAACACATGTATAAATATCACAAAATAATATTTCCGTTTGAAATTAATTAAAATAAAATACGAATTATCAAATGAAAAACTAGATAAATTACTATAACACGAACTAGGTATCTATATGATTTTTAAATAACTAATTTTGAATTAGTTTTTACCCCCAACCGGACCTATGGAGGCGATGGATGTTATAGCATCACTAAAGATAACGTCCACCGAGTGCGCAGGACGGACACTAATACCGAAGGGATGTATAAACCAAACTTCTTGTTTGTCGCACTGGCGCCCAAATAAAACGGTAACAGAAGCCGACTACTTCCCGTCCATCAAACGGACAGCGTGACGATTCGAATGCACGGAAAGCAATAACAACTTAACTAACTTCCTAACTGACGAGCAGCTCATTTAACAATTGTGGAGACAGCGCAATACTCGATCGGAAACAATTGACGTCGACAAGACCGAACAAACGAGCGCGAGTGGCGGTCATTCAAAGAAACACGTCTTGAGGACAGGTTCAACTACAGCAGCGCCACCGTTCCGTTACGACGGTTGTGGTGGCGGAAAATTACATTGAACGACGCGGCATACAATTATCAAAGAGTGAATGGTTTTGTTTTTTTCACGTGACAGAGACACGATGGCAAAACTATTTCCGGATGTCAGCGACGGACCTGTCGTGACAAATTCAAACGGGTGTTTGTATGACGCACCAACCTATTTACTGAGTTGCCGTTTACACAAATCATTATGTTTACCTGACGAGAGTATTATAGAAATATACTTATCGGCATACGACGAACCTGCGAAATTATAAAATTTCAGTCGTAATAGTTGTAACTCCTGGTGGATACGCATAACGAGAGGGCGTTTTGCTACATCTTATTTTTATGACTGATAACGTCTCTCGCACTATCACCGCCGGTTGTGTGAGAGACTCATTATTTTGGACGCCATTGAGTTGCTGTTGGTCCGCTTTTATGATTTTACGTTTTTCGCCGCCATTCATAACTTGCTTGTTATATGGTTCTATGGTGCTTGCGAGCCCGTAGTTATTTTAAAAACGTTAACATATCGCCCTTGCCATTGTACGTCATCCTTGCGATTCGTCTAGTTATTGTCTATTGTCCTTGCGATACGCTCGCCGTGAATTGCATTCGTACATCTGAAGTACTGTTCGCCAAAGTACGTTCTGCCTGTTCAATTGTCATATCAACGACTTCATTCACCTTTCACTAACATCAATCATTCATCATCATCGGTGTCGATAAGTAGTGAATAATCATATTGTTCTTGTCTTAATTTTAATCTTATTGTTTGTTCTTTTGTTGCATTAGCATTAAGTATCCCCCCGACCACATTGATATATATAATATTCTGGTTTATAATTTTAATACAATCAATTTCTATATATATTCCTAAATTCAATTTTATTCATTTTACACAGTCCATTCCCTACTTCCTTCTCTACATGATTTTAGAGACCTTAGAAACGAACTGAAAAGTAACCCGCACATCATTACCGGGCGTTTCGTTTAAACACCTCCATTAATAAATTATATAAATATCGGCCCGGTACGGACCGGGTAGGATACGTCCAGCTCCTAAAGCTCTTTATTATTTAAAATATAGCAGACCTACACCTATTTCAATCAACAATATATCATACCTTGTTATAGGTGTACCGCGGTCTGATTAATTTTTTTTTTTTTTAAATATGTATACTTCTGAAATTTCAGAAGGGCTAAGTCTCTTTTAGCCTTCACTTCTATTTGTACATTTGAAAATATTTCTTCCATATTTTTAATTTTACTGAAAAAACGGAACTCTTGTGTTTTATAGTAAATGAAATATTTTTTGAAATTTATTTTCCAAAAACTCTTTGTTTTTACAATTCTTTGGGGGGGGGGGGGAGCATTTGGACATTGGCAAATATCTGATATTTTTTTAAATAGATTATTTTTAATTTACAATTTTTCAAAACAATATTGGGCAAGATTAATATTAAATAAGTACCTGCTCAAAATTTATTTTTGTAATAGTTGAAATGAAGTAGTTAATTAAAAATTATTACAAATAGCTAATCAAGTATGTGAAAAACGCTCTAAAGTATAAAAAAAAGCTTATTTTATTGCACAGTTTATAATTTTGTTAATCGCTAATTTTTAAAATTTAAACAATATATAAGATGACCAATCCAATTATAATTAAAACCATGTAAATGTGAAAATTCTAGTAATTTTTTTATTTTTACAGGCTACCATTTAATGGGAAAATAATAAGNATCGCTAATTTTTAAAATTTAAACAATTTATGAGATGACCAATCCAATTATAATTAAAACCATGTAAATGTAAAAATTCTAGTAATTTTTTTTATTTTTACAGGCTACCATTTAATGAGAAAATAATAAGATTTTCATGATTATTTGGAATATTAATAAACGAAAATAGAAATCTATAATAATTTAAAGTTAAGTTACAAGACAATTTTTAAAATTACATTAAATTTACATCGATGTTTAACATTTTATTTATTTTTGATTGTATTTCTACTATTTTGACATATTTTTTTAACTGTTCAAAAATAGACATAGTAAAATTCATTGAAAGTGTGTTGTACAGTTTTTTGAAAATCTGTTCTCAATAAAATATTTTGGCGTACAATAATTTTATGACTGTATAAAATGTGTAGCTATTGATTTTTAAAACAATTCTGAAAGTAATAAATTGATATTTTAAAATTTGAGAGAATATTTATTTTTTTCATACTTAATTTTTTTAATATTAAATTTGTTGCACAATGTGTGCTGTGAAAAAATTAACAATATATAATATCAAATTGATAACCTGGATTTTATTTAGCTTTTATATATATATATTTTTATATCAAATTAAAAATATTATTGAATTAGGTATCATTAAAAAATTCAAGACTTGTTGAATAACATAAAAACTGGAGACAAATTGTATTTATTGTTTTTACTATGAGAAATTTACAATGCGTACAAATATTTGAGTTAAATACAAAAAAATTTTCCCTAACTTTTGAATAATAAATCAAAAATAATTAAGTTTAACTCTGATTATAACGGCACTGTTTTAACGACAGTTAAGATTTAATACCATAACACAATAAAATGTTTCGTTTTATAAATTTAAAAAAAAAAGAACAAAATTTATCTTCAGCTAATAATTCTATAAGAAGTCAAAGGAAAAAATACCTAAAAAAAAAAAAGGAAATGTTAGAATGCGTATATGCACGTGAGACGTTAGGGACCTGAGAAAGCGTCTACCGCCGGCGCTCGGAGGTCAATTGCGCTCCAGTAGATAGACCTTGCACCTTAGCTGGGCAATGATGGTACTCTAATGAGACTGAACTCACTATGTAATAAGACGGCTGATGAAGGAGACGAGGTGACCGTGTATTAAACGTATCGCAAAATATACGGTACCGTGTCAGATTTTTAAAAAATATACAAAGTGTTCAGTAAGTAATGAGAACAACAGAACCCGTTAAATTAAAATACTTAATGTATATAATATAATTTATGATATTAAAATATAATCTAGTATCTATATTTTTTATTTTCTTGCATTCTAAGCGCCACTTTTACGAAATAAGTTCAAAAAAATTGTAATCATTCAAAGTAGTACTCATATATGAACTTTAAACTTGTATTTTAATTTTACAACGAGATTCTTATTTTAGAAGACACGATAATTTATTGACCAATTTATTAATATCAAGTTAAATAATTAAACACATGCTTCTAGAAATTGTATAAATATATATTTTTTTAGGATAAATACATATAAGACGAACAATATTCAATTTTTATTTTTCAAATATCTATTATCGTATTTGCAATAAATTTTTTTTAATTATTTAAAATGATGAGTAATTTTTTTTTATTCAGTTTTTTAACACTATCATGTTTCTATAGTGTAATTTCAAGAGAAATATATCTCGATTGCTATTATAGTAAGTACCTATTATATAATTTAAACACCAAAGTTATATATTTCAACAAATATGTATCAGTAAATAAACAAAACCATATTTTGATTGAAAATTTTGCCATGGGTCTTCAATTTTTGGGCCCAATTGTAGAAGCAATGCTTCGCGNACATATTTTTTTAACTGTTCAAAAATAGACATAGTAAAATTCATTGAAAGTGTGTTGCACAGTTTTTTGAAAATCTGTTCTCAATAAAATATTTTAGCGTACAATAATTTTATGACTATAAAATGTGTAGCTATTGATTTTTAAAACAATTCTGAAAGTAATAAATTGTTATTTTAAAATTTGAGAGAATATTTATTTTTGTTCATACTTAATTTTTTTTATATTAAATTTGTTGCACAATGTGTGCTGTGAAAAAATTAACAATATATAATATCAAATTGATAACCTGGATTTAATTTAGCTTTTCTATATATATATTTTTATATCAAATTAAAAATATTTTTGAATTAGGTATCATTAAAAAATTCAAGATTTGTTGAATAACATAAAAACTGGAGACAAATTGTATTTATTGTTTTTACTATGAGAAATTTACAATGCATACAAATATTTGAGTTAAATACAAAAAAATTTTCCTTAACTTTTGAATAATAAATCAAAAATAATTATGTTTAACTCTGATTATAACGGCACTGTTTTAACGAAAGTTAGGATTTAATACCATAACACAATAAAATGTTTCGTTTTATAAATTTAAAAAAAAAAGAACAAAATTTATCTTCAGCTAATAATTCTATAAGAAGTCAAAGGAAAAAATACCTAAAAAAAAAAAAGGAAATGTTAGAATGCGTATATGCACGTGAGACGTTAGGGACCTGAGAAAGCGTCTACCGCCGGCGCTCGGAGGTCAATTGCGCTCCAGTAGATAGACCTTGCACCTTAGCTGGGCAATGATGGTACTCTAATGAGACTGAACTCACTATGTAATAAGACGGCTGATGAAGGAGACGAGGTGACCGTGTATTAAACGTATCGCAAAATATACGGTACCGTGTCAGATTTTTAAAAAATATACAAAGTGTTCAGTAAGTAATGAGAACAACAGAACCCGTTAAATTAAAATACCTAATGTATATAATATATATATATAAAAAATTTTGTTTTGATTTATCTATTTTAAAAAAATGTTATGACGGTTTTCAGTATAAAAAATTATTAAATTTATCGATTTTAAAATTAGGATTTTTTTAGGGGATTTTCTCTATTTTTGGGGAATTAGGAATTTTTTATCAATTTTAAAGGGTAATGATTTATTATATTGTCCAACTAATTTTTAATATTTAATAATGTATTTACAATTTTTTTATGTATAACAGTAAACAGTTGAAATGTCCTTATAACTTATTTTACAATATTAAAACATAGTCAGATCATTTCATTTATTTCATAATGTTGCTATTTCCTTACATGTGCCTCAGATATTTTAGAATTTACTATTTACAAAAAACAAATATATGAAAAATGTTTATTATATTTGCCATTTCAAATAAAATTTGAACAAATAATTAAATAGGCCATGCAGAAGAAACATGAAAATGAACTAGAAAATCCACTGAACAATCTCTTTGATATTGCTCTTGCCAATACGATGAAATGAGCACGATTAAAATCAATTTTTAGCTAGATGAATAGTTACAAGATTTTTTTGTTTTCAACGAATGTATACCAGTTTTATCCCAGGCCCCAATGTTTTTCCAAACAATCTCTGTATAATAAGTATTCAGCCAAGTATGCTGACAAAATGTCTATATACATAACATCTAATATTGAAAACAATACTTATCTTATTTAAGCAATCAAAACGTATGGATTAGTATGATTCCCATATAAAGAGCAACAATGATTTGTTCATATATTTATTAATTTATAATTTATTTATCAATTTTAAAAATGCATTGGGGTGGGATAAATAAAATATCAAAGAAGAAATATATTAAATTTTTGATATTAAAATATAATCTAGTATCTATATTTTTTATTTTCTTGCATTCTAAGCGCCACTTTTACGAAATAAGTTCAAAAAAATTGTAATCATTCAAAGTAGTACTCATATATGAACTTTAAACTTGTATTTTAATTTGACAACGCGATTCTTATTTTAGAAGACACGATGATTTATTGACCAATTTATTAATATCAAGTTAAATAATTAAACACATGTTTCTAGAAATTGTATAAATATATATTTTTTTTTAGGATAAATACATATAAGACGAACAATATTCAATTTTTATTTTTCAAATATTTATTATCGTATTTGCAATAAATTTTTTTAAATTATTTAAAATGATGAGTAATTTTTTTTTATTCAGTTTTTTAACACTATCATGTTTCTATAGTGTAATTTCAAGAGAAATATATCTCGATTGCTATTATAGTAAGTACCTATTATATAATTTAAACACCAAAGTTATATATTTCAACAAATATGTATCAGTAAATAAACAAAACCATATTTTGATTGAAAATTTTGCCATGGGTCTTCAATTTTTGGGCCCAATTGTAGAAGCAATGCTTCGCGCAATATATGACNTGCCATGGGTCTTCAATTTTTGGGCCCAATTGTAGAAGCAATGCTTCGCGCAATACATGATGAACATATGGATAAAGAGAGAGAAATTATGAAAACCAATCAATTGTGGTCTATAAATGCATTCAAAAACTCGCAAGGATTATTGTATGCAAATTTTTATTTTAATAATCTTAACAACACCTTACTACTGCAAACATATCAAAATGTAACAACTGAAACAATAGAATTAAGTGATCATGAAATTTTTATAGATGAATTTAAGAAAATTTATCCAATATTAATTGAACAATTAAAACAAAACGTTTTAGATGCATGTTACAAAGGTAAACAGATGAATTTCCCCAATATTGTTACTCAAAACCAATCTGTCGATAGAAATTATAGTAATAATGTGATTATTAATGATTTATTACCTACTAAGGAAACTATTAAAACTATATTCATTGAAAGTAACATTGAACAAACAATGAATGACGTTGGTGACACTGAAGTCAATTTAAGATATCATTTTAGTATAAAAATCGATGATGAAATAATGCGAAATACTAAGTATCACCCGAATGCCATGTTGTTTTCCAATTTATTCCACGAAAGTAAAATATATAAATTAAGTGGAATAATTGAAGTGCGAGTAAATGAAAAATTGGAAAATGNAATGATTAGTAATTTTTTTTTATTCAGTTTTTTAACACTATCATGTTTCTATAGTGTAATTTCAAGAGAAATATATCTCGATTGCTATTATAGTAAGTACCTATTATATAATTTAAACACCAAAGTTATATATTTCAACAAAATTGTATCAGTAAATAAACAAAACCATATTTTGATTGAAAATTTTGCCATGGGTCTTCAATTTTTGGGCCCAATTGTAGAAGCCATGCTTCGCGCAATACATGATGAACATATGGATAAAGAGAGAGAAATTATGAAAACCAATCAATTGTGGTCTATAAATGCATTCAAAAACTCGCAAGGATTATTGTATGCAAATTTTTATTTTAATAATCTTTACAACACCTTACTATTGCAAACATATCAAAATGTAACAACTGAAACAATAGAATTAAGTGATCATGAAATTTTTATAGATGAATTTAAGAAAATTTATCCAAATTTAATTGCACA